GTATGTGAAGCTACCAGAGGTGGTCGAGCAGAACTTGTAGTAAAAATGTGATGATTTGAGGTCAAACTTTGACATCGTGGAGCTGCTGGATCTGCAGGTAAATATCAGAAATAGTCCTTTAAATGTGGTGCCTTTGCTTTGCTCGTGCCTTGTTTACAATAATTCGACTGGAAATTAAGAAAAGTTTTCGATCTCAGGCACAGAATCAGTGACGGACGAGAAGTTTAGCTTTTAACTAAGAAAATAATAGTTTAAAATGTAGGAAACTGTGCTGCTGAAAGTAATGATGTGAACAGATTTAGCCGCTACCAGGTTTAGTGTTCTGATGAAGAATGAATCTGTTGTTTCTGTTTCTGTTTGTCTTTAGGGGGGAGAAAACAAAGACGTGTTTTTATGTGTGATTTCTTTTCTCTGATGTTTAAGTTTTGTTTGCTGCTCAGAGTGGAACGTAAGAAGTGATTGAAACAGAATCTAAATATAAACGTATATTTAGGGAAACTTCCTGTTTTTGTTGTTGTTGTTGTTTTCTCTGCTCTCTATTTATTGGTGAAGTTACCTCCAGTCTCTTGGCACCGTCTTGAGCTGCAGCTGCTCGTTGAAGACGCACCAGATGAAACTATTCAGAACTTTCTTGTTTTTTTTTAAAGTGTCGTAGGAACAACAGCATTATGACTGTGTTCATCCTTAAAGTTCTGCCTTCTGAAAACTGAGAAACAGACTTTGAAAGCTCTTAGAGGTCATGGTGTCCTGGTGGCCGTCCTCTCTGGTCTCTGTCTCGTCCAGTAACCCAGCCTCTGTGCCACATTCCTTCTGTCTCTTGATGACTGGTTTGACTGTTTTCCAAGAGATGTTTGAAGAGTTCATTTGTAAGAACAGAGAACTCCGTCTTCACCAACCTTCAGAAAACCCACATCTCCATCGTCTACCTGAGACAACATCAAACTTCAGTTATCTCTGTGTTTGTCATTTCTGCTGAGTCAGATCCTCTCAGATTCAGTTTGATTGATTTCATCTCAAGCAAGCAACCAAAAAAAAAAAAAGTTTTCTGAAAATCTACAACAATGGAGTTTTCTGTTTTTGCAAATCAACTCTTCATTCAGTGTTCTGGACGTTTTCTTTCATCCCCTGACTGATGCTGTCCAACAACCGTTTCACTGAGTCTTCAGTCTTCATGGTTCTGTCCAGGAGTTCTGATCCACCAGAGACCGGACCTTCACATACACCAGTCTTTAGACTACAATCACTGAGACACATTCACTGACCTCAGATGAACTTCATTTCACTACTTGTTGGACTTTTAGCACCAGTGTTCAGTTAGTCAGTTTAAAGTTGGTGAATATTTATGCAATCATCGATTTTACACTGTAAATAATTGACATTTTTCACAACAAGTCTTTAAATTCCTGTCAAAAAAAAAACAAACTAAATGGAGCATAATTCAGTGTAGAAAACAATAAAAAGGGAACTTTTACTTGTATCAGAGTGTTTTCACTGATTAATCTTTAGCTGGAAGCTGCTTTATTTCAGCATCACAGTCAAATACCAACAACTGACTCAAATCGAATCAAATCAGGTTTATTGTCACCGTGCTGTACAGACACAGTGGTACAGGCAGGATGAGAGGGCGTTTATTCAGGATGCA